CTGGCCCTTTACAAAAAAAGCCTGCCAACCCCTGATTTAAGGGCTGGGGTAGGTCAGGGTCATAGATAACAGCATTCCACAGCAGCTAGGGTCCCAGAGAATTTAAAAATAATTTCCATTAATTAGGTTATCTTTAAAATCAAGTCCACTCATAGAAACTCTGGCAGTTTGGGCTTCAAAATTGTGCCAAGTAGGATTCATATAAGATACACCTGTGAACTGAGTAAAGGTTCCTTTAGAAGAATTTGCCTAAGGAGATGGGAATAGTGGGTTTTCTCCACCACAACTTCCAACTTCCTCTGAATTGAGAAGGTCAGTGAGTCCGGAGGAGCCGCTCACATGCCTTGAGCCCCCGCCGGGACAGCCTGCCAGGGCACAGCCTGCTAGGGCCTCATGCCGGTTTCACACAGAAGCTCTCACACAGAGTGGCCTCTTTCGAAGTAATGAATGAAGAGAAAGAGACTGCGCCCCAAAAAGCAGTAGATGTAGTTTCCTTAACTTAATCAATATTCCTAATACATTCTCCTATTGGGTTCTTTTGGCACCTGCCACCTCCCTTGGTATCCTCTGTGAAGGCAGTGGCTAAGCCAGAGAACTTGAGCCTAAGGCCTTGTCTTCACATCATGGTCAGACAGGCTCCTCTTCCTCCCTAGATGGAAAGGGGGCCAAGAGAAGCCTTTGTGTGTGAATAAACAGAAGTGCCAGGGGACTCTGTGGCCCCCACCCAAAGCCCTCTAATCTGGCCTGAGTCACTGAGCAAGAACCAAGCAAGGAATGAGGGCTTCCCACAGTCCCCCTCTCCCAAAGCTCAATATTTGGTCATGATTATAAACCATTATGATTACTTTTACTACAAACACAAAAATGTCTGGGCCCCGGTTATGAGAGCCTCCTTTTAAGAAGTAGGAGAGACATACATTATAAATAAATAAATAAAATAAAACAAACATCTATGTTAAGTCCCAGAATTAATACGGCGGCAGAAAACATGGAGATGGGAAGAAACTACCAGGAAAGGATATTATTCAAATCATCCAATCAAAATGCATTTTGGTGCCTACATTTGCTTTATGAGCAGCAAAACAGAGGAGTCATTTCATGGAGCTAGAACCTCTTTAGAACTTGGTTTGAGCTCTCAGTAAAAGAAACATTAGGAACAGGTAATTGTACCTCAAGGGTGGTACTGTTTCCTATCATAGTACTGAGAGAACTTGCTCCTATGTGACAGCCAAATAGGGTTAACAGATAAGACTGCTAGTAGGTGGCCCCCTGGGGACTGGAGCCAGCCCAGGTGGCCCTGAGGGCTGAGGCTCACTATCTCAAACAACCACTAGGTAGCTGTGGCCTTAGCTGCTGCCTGTGAACACCCAGTGGTGAAGCTGCTCTGCATTTCTGAGGTTGTAGCTTCTGAACGAGTGCATCTCTGAATCAACACACAGAGACCATGCTAGAGCCACGTGCTCTGCCTCCTGCATCCTGAAGGTCATCGTGGTAAACTGACTTCTTAGAAAGGTGAAACTTTGGTTTCAACTTTGGTTTAGCAGACTTACTGAATCCAAGGGAATAATGTATGATACGGATAGTGTCGCCTCTCACAGACTGATCTCTAACTGAGGCTAGAGTAAAAGGACATATTTTTCTTAGGACTGCCACCTAAAACACGGACATAGTGAACTGAGGCGAACAAAGCATCAGAGAATAACTTCAATCAGCAGGTTACTCAAAATGCACTAAGGAAAAGTAGATATTTGTGAGGGCAACAATAGGCGGTAGGGACAGAACAAATGAATAGGGCCACTTAGCTGATCTATAAATGCTCTCACCAGTGTCCTTTGCTGCAGGAGATTGATGTGCTCCTCCTTCAAAAGCTGGGGTCCACAGACTTGTTTCTGGGGAACCAAGGAGTCACCTCCAAGGACACAAATCCATTATTTTCAAACCTTAATTAACTGGAACCTAATTAGGACTTTTGAGGGTTTTTTTTTTTCCTACTTAAAAGGATTCTTTTTCTCTCTTAAGTCAGTATGGTGTAAATGGAGAAAAAGTAAAAAAAGAGCTATTTGGATTTCTTGCTTATAAGCAACTCATTTAAAATTTGGGGCTTCAGCTTCCTAATTTATAAACTGAGAGGGTCAATGAGATATTTATATCCAAAGTCATTTTCAGCAATAAAACTCTGACTCTAAGACATGCCAAAAGATCATCATCTATCAATAATCTGTGCTCATTCTTGTAGCTTGTATTTGTATTAGCTTGTACTTGTATTACCCTCTTAATACAAGTTAGGATCACCTGACAGTCTTTTACAGTTTTTTAAGAGTATTTCATATAGTTCCTTCAATTAAAGGTTATAAAAACCTGATGGGCAGTAAGGTCTTTAAAATGCTATAGCAAAAGCCCTCTCAGTTAATGAGCTTTAGCAGCAGTTGGTTAGTTATTCTAGAAGTTAGGAAAAGAAGGGAACCATACAGAAGAGTTACATACATAACTAAACATTTTAACATATATGTGTACATTCATTCACTAAGTCTTTTAAATGTAAGGCTTTTTAAAAAAGAGTATTGGCCAGGCGCGGTGGCTCACTCCTATAATCCTAGCACTCTGGGAGGCCAAGGCAGGCGGATTGCTCAAGGTCAGGAGTTCAAAACCAGCCTGAGCAAGAGTGAGACCCCGTCTCTACTATAAATAGAAAGAAATTAATTGGCCAACTAATATATATATAGAAAAGATTAGCCGGGCATGGTGGCACATGCCTGTAGTCCCAGCTACCCGAGAGGCTGAGGCGGCAGGATTGCTTAAGCCCAGGAGTTTGAGGTTGCTGTGAGCTAGGCTGACACCACGGCACTCACTCTAGCCTGGGCAACAAAGCGAGACTCTGTCTCAAAAAAAAAAAAAAAAGAGTATTATGCTAATTGTATTTCTACATAGTCTTTTCTGAATAAACTATACTCATAATTCACTGTCTATTACTTATCATTTTTGTTTCTTTAAAAAAGAATGAGAATTTGTTTATAAGGCAATTTGAGTATAGGATGCTTCCTGGATTTTATGATTTTTCCATCTTTTATAGTTGTCTTACCTAAACAACTGAATATTTAAAGACTCACCCTTACCTATGTTAACATTTAACTTAGTTTTTATAAAAACAGCTCTCTCTTTTATGCTTGTATTTGATCAGTTTCCTTCATACTTAAACTGCATAATTACAACATGTACAACCGGCATAGCCAAATTTGGGAACACACACACAATTCCCCGGTGGCAGCAGAGGAAGCAGGGATGCTAGACAGCCAGTACAGTGTGCACAGGCCTCATCACTGTGCTTTGCAGAAGAGGGATGAGCACTGCTGGCAGAGACAACTGTGAGGCTGGACTGTAGCTGGGGGAGGGAGGTCAAGGGTAGAGAGACAGATTACGGCTCATTAGCATCTAGTTAGTAGTTAAAATCACAAGCGTAGAGGAATTCGTTCAGGGTGGGAGTGTGGACAGAGAAAGAAGGAAGGTGGGGTCGATCCCATGGAATGTCAACCTTGAAGTGGTGAGCAGAGGAAGAGACTTCTGCAAAGGGGGCCAGCAGGACAATACTGCAGATGTACAAGGAGAAACAGAGAACCAGGGGGTGGGCTTTAAAAAACCCAGTGCAGGACAGAAGTCTAAGAAGCAAGAACTATAAAGTAACCCTGGACTTGACAATCAGGTGGCTACTGGTAAGTGAGAATCAGAGTATGTTTACACCCCCACAAGTGATTTCCTTGAAGGAAGGAAAGGAGATATTCTGTAATCTCTGATGCCTGTAGTCCCTCTTTTGCTGCCTCTGCTGTCTTCTTCCTTGTGCACTGTGCCTCCAGTGTCCCCATCAGCATTCTCACAAGGACAGGCCAGCTTGGGCTGCCTGAACGCAGGCCCAGGAGGAGGAGTGGGAGAGCTCTAGAAGCTACCCTGACTCTGCCAAGCACAGGCAAGACAGATCATCCACTGTCCCAAGAGCAGCTAATTGATTCCTAGGCCCAGGGTAGCACCTGTATGCAATGCCCACACCAAGAAGCATTTGTGCAAGTTTGTTGCAAAATGTACCATGACATCAGCACTTCAAAAAGAAGGCTTTAAAACAAGGCCTTTCAGATCTCTCTCAGCTGAAAGGCTGGGGGAAGGAAGTCTCCATGAGGTGAGCTGTGCCAAAAGTCTGATGGAAAGCTCCACCAGCCAATCCCAGCAGCCGCCCTGCTGCCCGCCTCATTTTTCAGAAACGGAGACTCCCTCAGCACACAACAAGCAGGGAAGGAGAGTTTGCGTAAGGAACATAAATGAAAGAGAAAAAAATTCCATGATATGAAACATAGCCTCCACTCTGTAATGTACTGACAAACAATGAAATAAGAATTTCTGGATCCTAACAGCTACCAACCGTCAAACATGGAACTTCAACTAGGTTTAAGTGACAGCTGACTGAGTCCCAGAGGTCCGCCAGCATGGCTGTGATATTTGAGATTCAATCAATACCATTCTAGGCCAATATATTCTTCAACAGCCAACATTCTACAGTCGCCTCAGTTCTCTGCTTCTTTCGATAGTAATCTGGAATTTATAAACAAATAACTTTTTGGAAGATGAGGGATATGAAGAAATACATTTTTTAAGCCTCAGGATCAGATACCGGCCAGCCAGCTCCTAAATTTTGGTATCCCCTGGTCCCGCCTCCATTAAAATGGATTTGGGGGAGAATCCTGAGGTGAGGACCACATACCGGACATAGCCTTACCAGGGAAGACCAGCTGGGGGTCTTGGTCACAGACTCCACCCTTTTTCCTGGGCTCACATCAATAAGCCTTGTGTGCCTGTGGAGCTTGGGCCGTGGGTGGGAGTTGATTCCTACTGGCCTCAGAGAACACGGTTTTAGTGGAGTGACTGGGGCAAAGAGAGGAAGGAAGAACCCAAGGTTTCCATGCCACCTCTCACCTACACTGGGATCACGGGTTTCACTGAAAAAAATACATACTGACCTGGTCCAAACGAAGTGCACCATCTACAAAGCGCTGCTGACGTAACTGCTTTGCGATTCCGTGGAGATTCAAGATAGCCTGGTGCACCTCCTCACTGCTGTGCTCTGGTGAAATGGGGGGCAGCTCCTTCCCAGGGATCTTCTCAGTTGGGCTTTCAATCATGCTCTGTGCATGCTCATAGCTCAGTTTGATGCAGGAGCGGATGACGGTCCGGCCAAACCATTCACTAAGGATCTGCAAAGATTGTGAGGAAATCGTGAGGACAATTTTTTTTCAGATTTTTCTTCATTCAACCATTCATTCATACACATTCAACAAAAATTAACTGAGCCAGTGTTGACTTTGACTTTGTACTCAGAATGGTGTGAGGTTCTGGCTAGGCACACAGATGAATCAGACATGGAAGCTGCTGTCCTCAGGGACCTTAGTCTCCACCAGGCATGGAATTAATTCAACAGGAAGCAGAGGTCTACGGATGGTCCCCAGGCACACGGTGACACAGGGAGGGCCAAGCAGGAGACTTACAGTGAAGGGCCTGCTGAAGGCCTTTTCATTAGTTTGGGTAAGTGGTCATCAGTGTCAACACTGGGGAAGAAGGGATAATTGCCAAAGAGGTGACAGACGGGGACTCTGTGGGCTTGGCTCAGATGTGGGGTAAGGGAGAAGGAACAAGCAGGGCCACTGATGGGAACAGGGAACACAGGTGGAGAAGACAAACCAATTCCAACTTGTTCTATTTGGGGTACATGTATAGAGACAAAAGTCTAGAACAGGGTTTCTCAACCTCAGCACCATCGGGCTGAATGATTCCTTGCTGCGGGGCCTGCACTGTGTATCATAAACTTTTCAGCAGTGTCCCTGGCCTCTACCCACTAGAAGCCAGTAGCACCTCTCCTTCAGCCTCCAAATAGACAACCCAAAGCATCTCTAGACATTGTCAAATGTCCCCTGGGGAAATTAGGCCCAGGCTGAGAACCACTGGGCTTGAAAGAGGCACACTCAAATTTAGTGGTGGTGCCAGCTGAATGGTCGGATCACTGTTGAATTGTATTTTATTCTATTACTTTTTTGCATTTTCTATAATAAGCATTTCTTACTTTTAAAACAAAAATAAAACAAACATTAAAATATTTTGAGGACTCCTGAGTCCAAGGTGCAGGGAGAGATGTAGACAAAGCTATCTGGAAGGCACTCGGGGTGTGGGCCGGGGCTGGGGCCGTGACTGGTGGAGGGGTGGAGAGCTGGCATTATACGCCCAGGGGCCCAGGAAGGGCAGAGCGAGCGAGAGAGTCGAGGCTGCAGGGTATAACATCTTCTCCATCTCAGGGAGCAAAAACAGAGAAGCCAGAGAATAAAAACAGAAGGAAAATAAGAGAGCTCAGAGAGACATTAGAAAAACCAGAGGTGTCCAATGTTAGGAAAAGCAGGAGAAAAGAACTTTAAGAAAGGGGTCAAAGGCAGTAAGAGACACTCAGACAGCACTCACTATGAGACAGGCACTGTTTACACACTCTCCACGTAGTAACTGCCTAATTCTCACAATAACTCTATGAGGTAGGAATCTTCCCATCCTCGTTCTCCAGACGAGGAACCTAGCACAGACAGATTAAGTGATTTGCTGAGGTTACGCTGCTGGAGATGGGCAAGATGCCGAGAGGCCAGGCAGTCCAGCCCCAGAGTCTGTGCTTTTAACCACGAGGGCACAACCGAACCCACTTGGGTGTCAAGGAGGATGAAAACAAAGAAAAAGTCTTTGGATTTAGCATCTGCTTGCTGGTGGTGTTTAGGAAGGCTGTTTTAGGGGGTAAACGCTGTGCAGGGAGCAGAGGCAAGCTGCACGGACGGAAGGCATGTGTGGCAAACGGGTGACAGAGACGCTGCAGGGAGGGCGCCTCTCACTCTTAGGACAGCCAGAGCTTCTGCCTCCCACCAGCCTCGCGCACATGCCCCAAGTGCCACTCAAAGGGCACGTGTGTCACCATGTAAAAAGCCCTGGGAAGCTCTGGGTTAAGGACAGGTGGAGGCTAGCAGTGGAGGCCACGGAGTCGGTGTGGATGGTGCCCTAGAAGGATGGCTGGGAAGGAAAGCTGTGGAGTGAGCAGGACAGAGGACCGTGTGGTGTTTGTAGGGCGACAGGAAGAAGCAGAAGCACCGGAGGAAGATGGATAATACTCCAGAACGAGGGGATCCCAGGCCAAGGGGAGGCCATCCACCCAGGAGGGAGGAGTAGTCTGGAGGGGATGCAGGAAAGAAAGGGAAGGGCATCTTGGTGGAAAAAAGAGGGGAGCTCAGAGCACTCAGATCAGACAGCCCCAATCTATATAGCCAAGTATGAGCCAGAGGACAAAGGAGGTTGGGAAGGGCTCAAGGACCCAAGGAAAGTGGCAAAGCTCTGGGTAAGCGCCCCGGGAAGTGTGATTCCTAAGCAAGAACAGGGAGGGAGCATCTGTCAGTAGAACTTTTGGCATGGGCTCGCAAGCATTCCTCTTGCCTTGCTCTCCACCAGCCAAACCATTCTGTTCACAACCTCTGAGCCAATGCTTCCCAAAAAGGCCAACTGAAAGATCTATAGGTGCTCGCCATAGAGCAAGGACGGCGCTCAGCCCAGGAGCTGTCCACACCACAAAGCCTCTGTGGCTCCAGCACAGCTTCTACACTAGAGGCTGGAGAGGCCTCTCTGGTATCCTCACTCTCTTGGAGGAAGAATGAATACTCTTAAAAAAATGGCAGCCATGAGGTACAGGAGAGAATGGTGGCAACTACTCATTTTTTTTTTTATTCAGTGCAAAGTCTTACAAAGAGTCTTGAATCTGTAACATAAGACTTCAATTTTTCTTTTAAAAAAATTCTGAAACTATATTTTCCAGATTATTCCAAGAACTACTGCTATCCAAAAATATAAGGGATTCAAATAATGCTCTCATGAGTCTTCCACTGTGGTAAGCGGGTCTGGAAAGTGGCTCTCAGGAGGCGAGTGTGCCTCAGGCAAGGCAACCGTGGAGCCAGGCCCAGGTGCCACCCAACACTCGCAGTGGGGAGTGCCAGGTGCAGGGGTCTAGAAGAGCCCCTTCCAGGCCCAGCCCAGGCCTGTCCTCCTAGCACATCCACATTTCCTGAGTAGGGCTGTTCTAGCCTCTTCCTCCTCTAGAATGACAGGGCCATGACCACTTCATTCTTGTGGTCTCGAAGCTTCCCCCTAGAGATTTAGCTTGTTTCCTTTTCTCCACTTCATTCCAAATCCAGTCACTCCTCCTATGTGTCCAGATCACACTGCATAGTCTGCCTTCGGCATGCTCAGGGAACGTCGGTTTCCACTCTGTTCCATTCCCTCTTCCACACACTTCACAAGTGGTCTGGCAGGTTCCCACCAGCACCCAAGTCACAGGATATGCAGCCTCCTGGGATCTGTGACCTTTTTCCCTGGCCGATGCTCCAGCACAGGGTAACCCTGGCACCCTGACCGGGCATCTGTTTGGATGTAAACTGGTGGGTCAAAAACTGCTTTAAGAATATAATGAGGCCAAGTGCAGTGGCTCACGCCTGTAATCCTAGCATTCTGGGAGGCTGAGGCAGGCGGATCATTTGAGCTCAGGAGTTTGAGACCAGCCTGAGCAAGAGCAAGACCCTGTCTCTACCAGAAGTAGAAAAGATTAGCTGGACATGGTGGCGTGCGCCTGTAGTCCCAGCTACTTGGGAGGCTGAGGCAGGAGGATCGCTTGAGCCCAGGAGTTTTTTTTTTTTTTTTTTTGTGGGGGGCCTTCCGGTGAGGACCGGAAGACCTGCTAGACAAATTCTAAAAGAGCTGTAACACTGAGCCCAGGAGTTTGAGGTTGCTGTGAGCTAGGCTGACACCATGGCACTCTAGCCCAGGCAACAGAGTAAGACTCTGTCTCAAGAAAAAAAAAAATGCTCCAGGCTCTCCTCCCTGAAATATTTATGCACAAAATTTAGCAGCAAGTTCTACAAGGTTCCTAGATAACCTTCTACCCCCCAAGTCCATGTTGGCTGGCTCTATATACATCTCTGTTGCTCCCTCTCAACCCTGTGATTGCTGAGCCCTGACCAGGACCACCTATAACCCTGAGGCATTCTTAAAATGGATCACCTGTAACTTGCCTCAAATCAGAAGCTTACCACTCCTTACCAAACCTGCTTACAGCCCACGCTGGCAGCATGCTATCAATTAGTTTAAGCCACTTTTTTTTCCCCCCAAATGGACACCTCTGCTCCTTTGTTTCCTTACAGTCAAAACAGATATTCCTTCTGAACAGCACACATGAACACCACAAAATATGAGACTACAGTGCTGATGATAAGTTTCCTGTAAGCTCTTTCACCTCACATTCGCCCTCTCCCCTTAACACCTGCATCCCAGAAAATCTGTCTCAATCTTCTTTTTAAACACACAAAGAGCTGAGGTGGAAGCTTGAAGTGCCATCAGGAACTTCCTGCTCGGGGACAGAGGCATCTGGCAGCAGAACCTACCCTGCCTAACACAATCCAGTGCTTCCGGGAGTCACATCTGACAGATGTACTAAAAAAATTCTTAGGCCAGGGAAACCATCTTCTGGGAAAGGCCAGCAGAAAAGAAAGGATGCCTGCTGCTTCCTGACAGAGAAAGGTAGCAGGAAAGCGAAGATCCAAATGGAGGGGTCCCAGGAGCAGCCAGCCTCACAGTATGGAAGGCGGGCCTCTCTGGATGGAACACCTCATTAATTTCCAAATTGGAAACTGTATTCACATCAACACCCAGTCCATAACCAAGGCCAGTGGCAGAAGACAAAAGGATAGAGTTTTTCGTGGAAAAAGTAAGAAGTCCACAAGGAGATTCATAAATAAAATCCTTCAGAAAGAAGATCAAGTCCTTCCTCTTTCCTTTACTTAATCAAAGGATTGGGGTCACTCCCTTCTGTAGGCAGGTGTGTTTCCTGCACACCCTCTAGAATATCACTGTTTGGAATGTCAGATTAAATGTAGCACCAATATCTACTAAAGGCACATTACTAGAAAAATATCTGGCTAAAAAGGAGCACCTAATATCTACTAAGGCATCATACTTCAAGACCTACTTACTGTACTAAGTAAGATTGAAAATAGTATAATGCTGTTAGTATCGTATTCTTATAACTACTATCTTCTAAAATCTCCTTAACAAACCTGGGGGAATGCATTGTTCAGCCCATTTTACAGTTGAAAAAACAGGCCAGGGATTTGTCAAAAGTCATACGAACTCC